AAAAAAAATTAAAAGATAAAAATTTTATCAGACTGGATTTAAAAAAAAAAAAAAACCTGACTATATTCTACTTAACAATAAACATACCAAAGAGAGAAAGCTGAAACTAAATGTCTGCAATAAGACATTTAATGTAAATACTAATAAAAAGGGCTAGAGTAGCTCTACTAATATCAGATTAAATAAAACTTAAGTCAAAAAGCATTACTTAACGATATCATAATGTTATCCTAATGGCAAAAGAATTAATCAACAGGAAGCTATAATAACTCTTTATTCTCCATTAGTAAAAACCAGGACTTAGAACCAGTTCATTCTGGTTTGAACCTCTGCTAAGAATTGCATTTCTAACAAGTTCCTAGGCAATGCAATCCTGCTGGCTAGGGACCAAACCTGAGAATCACTAGTAGAGAAGTGGTTCTCAAAATTTATTGTACATAAGAGTCACCTGAGATCTTGTTGAGATGTAGATTCTGATTCAGTATATCTGGGGTGGAAATGCAAATTCTCAGCAGGGATTCAAACCAGAATGAACTGGTTCAATGCCCTGGTAAAAACTGAAAGAAATAAACAAATCCTCTCTCAGAAAATGATAAATCAAGCACAGAAAAAAAGTAAGGATGTGGAAGATTTAAACAAGATTAATGAATTTTGCATAATTGATATTTATAGAACACTGCACAACAAATTTCAAAGGACTGAAATTGCACAGTGTATGCTCTCTAACCATGCTGGAGTTATAACTCAATTACAATAATATAACTAATAAATCCCCCAAATGTTTAGTAATTGAACAATAAACTTTTAAAATCCCAGATAAAAAGAAAAAATCATAATGGAAATTTAAAGTCACATTGGAAAACACATGGTACTTTGAGACAAACAATAATAAAAATATGACAAATCAAAACCTGCCAGCTGTAGCTACAGCTGCTTGGAAGAAAACATACAACCTTCAATGCACATTTGAAAAGAAGAAAGCTATAAATCAATGATCTAAGTATCTATTTCAATAATTTTTTTTTAAAAATAGACATTAAAACCAGAAAGAATAGAAGAACATGTTAAAAAGGAAAAATAAATGAAACACAAATCTACAATAGCAAAATTCAAAAGGCCAAAAGGTAATTATTTGACTAATAAAACTGATAAACCTCTACCAAGACTAATCAACAAGAGAGATGTAGAAATAATCACTAAGTAATGAAACAGGGATGCCACTAAAGATTCCACAAACTTTTAAAAGATATTGAAATGTGGACCACTTTATGCAAATAAATTGAAAAACTAGATGGCACAGATAAACCTAGCAAATGTGACACAGAAAGAAATAGAAAAGCTAAATAGTCCTATTTCTATTAAAGAAATATAGCCTTTAAAACTTTCTCACTAGTACCCTCCAGGTCCAGATAGTTTCACCAATGAAATCTTCCAAGCACAGGAGAAAGAAATAATACCAATCCTACAAACTCGTCTCGAGAACTGTAAAAGAAGGAACCCTTCCCTCTTTTTATGAGGCCAGTATAACCAAGACACCAAAATCAGATCAGGACACTAGAAGTACGAAAATTAAGGACCAATTTCTGTCAGGAGCACAGATGCAAACCAAATCCAGGGATATATTTTTAAAAATTACACATCACAATCGAGTTGGGCTTATTTTAGGAATGCAAGTTTAGTTTAACATTTGAAAATCAATGTAATTCAACACATTAACAGAGAAAAGTAGAAACACCATATGCATATCTCAATAGATGCAGAAAAAGTATTTTATTAAAATTCAACACCATTCATAATTTGTAAACATAAATTTAGCAAGGCTGCTGGGTATGAGGTCAATAAACAGAATTCAATTATATTTCTAACTACTAGCAACAAACAATTAGAAAATGAAATTTAATGAACAATTCTAATTAAAATAACATCAACAATATCACATACCTAGGAATAAATTTCCTGAAAGATGTGGAAGTCCCCTAAACTGAATGAATGTTACAAAACATTATTAAGCGAAACTTCCAAACCCAAATCAAACCCATTGCCATCGAGTCAATTCCAACTCATAGTAACCCTATAGGACAGAGTAGAGCTGCCTCCACAGGGTTTCCAAGGCTGTACATCTTTACAGAAGCAGACTGCCACATCTTTCTCCTGTGGAGTGGCTGGTGGGTTAAAACCACTGAACTTTTGGTTAGCCACCAAGTGCTTTACCGCTGCATCACCAGGGTTCCTTCTGAGAGAAACTTATAAAGCCTTAAAATAATTAAGGGATATACCATGTCTATGGATACTGTCAACATGTCAATTATCCACAAATTGATCTCTAGTTTCAATGCAATCTCTATAAAAATAACAGCAGGGTGTATGTGTGTGTGTTTATGGGTGGATGAAAATTAAAACAATAATTCTAAAATTATATGAAAATATAAAAAGCCAGTAACAAAGGAAGAGAAGGAAAAGTAGGAAAGAGGGAGAAAAAGGGAGGGGGAGGAGGAGGAAGTTGGAGGACATTCACTACCACATATCAAGACCTCTTATGAAACCAGAATTAAGACAGCATGGTATTGGTACAAGGACAGACAAACATACCAATGGAACAGAAGAGAGAGTCCAGAAACATAGTTATTTTCATATGTAAAAACAGAGAAACATCTTGGAAAAAATTCCATGTATAAATATCTCATTCAAAACTTTAAAATATTTCCTGATCAACAATATCAGTTACAAAAGCAAGTAAATAATATTTCAGTTAAACTCTCTCGTGGGCTGTAAAAATAGCTTCCAAAATAATTAGCAAACCTTCTATAAAATCCTTCTCTTACCTCCCCAAAAGCTCCTCGACCAATCACCTTTAATATTTCAAAGTCTTCTCTATGCAATCGCATTTGTTTCACTTTAGAAGTAAATGGTTTAGCTGAAACAAAAGAGTAATGTCAATTACTTCTTAATGAAATGTGATGCAAATTAGATACAATGGTATTTCTTATTTATACAATAAAAATCCAAATTACAATTAAGAATTAAGCCAAAAAAAAAACTTAAAAATCTCATCACGCTATATTCAGAAGAAATAGATTCAATTTCCATAACAAAATAATACATTTCTTCAAGATGGGTTACATTTTTGGTGAGAAATATATTTTTAAATAGCAAATAACTTGAAATAATACAAAGCTGCAGGGACACAAAAATGAGACCAGTTTATTCTCATGTTAAACATTCTACGTATTTTATCAACACTAGGTATATATTTTAACATGAAAGTCCTAGAAGTAAAAGCAAATTTCATGAAGCCAAAGAGAACTTCAGAAATTCTAGTCTAGTAAATTAATATTTATTACATAATCATTCATTTATTCTTCTAACATGCCTTTAGCAAGAGTCTACGCTATATAAAGCATGGTGGCAATCACCGAAGTTTAAGGGGAAAATAAGATGATTATCAAACAGTACCTTCCCCTTCAAGAACCTCTCAGTCTCTAGAAAAGACAGATAAGTGTATGCGCGCCTTGTTTTCCTGAGACATAACTCTAAACCCTTGAAATTTTTGAGTGAGGTGGCTTTGCTAATCTAAGCAACATCTGAGGATTTGTGCTAGTAAGTGAGGGTTGACCAGACCAGGAAGACCACCTGATATCAACTAACCTCCAGAGGCATGATTTAGCCTATCGTGCATATGCAATAAGGGCTCAATCATGACTGGATGGTAAAAGCTCTGAACACGAAGGCTCAGAGAGCTTCCCGGCTGGCAAAGGGAGGGTGACGCGCCCTCTTTGGGACATGGAAGCTCTGTATTGGGAATCCTGCCAGACCTTGCCCAAGCATCTCTTCCTTACGGTGATCCTGATTTGTATCCTTTACTATAATAAATTTATAATTCTAGATACAGTACTTTCTGTGAGTTGCTCTAAAGAATTATCAAATACAAAGGAGTAGGGGGAGCTCACAGGTAAAAAAGTAAGGGAGCCCAAAGGAAGACCCCAAACTTGTGGATGGCATCTGCCTATTCGGCAGTCTGAAAGAGTAGCTTCGGGTGGCTAGGGACTGAGAAAGAAAGTGCAATATGTGCAGCTGGTGTCGCAGTTGATGGAGAAGTGGGAAAGTGAGGATTTGATTATGCCTCACGTCTTGGGGATCCAATTTATGCTGATTCTTACCCATGAAAATACATACCCTAAAAGCACTAAGCAAATGTGTACTGTAAAGTCATGCATGACTAGGATTAAAGATTTTGTCAGTTATCTAAGTTTTATGGACAGCATAAAGTAAAAGAATAACCATGTCTATACTTTATTCCTTGGCACCTACGAAACCAAAAATTTTTTTTTTTAATTTCATTCTTTTACACTGTGAAACTATTTTATTTTCAGACATTCAAAAATGAGTTATTTAAGTAGGAAATTTCTTCAGAAGGCTTAAAGTTTACTAATCATTTATTGAAATCACTTGAAAAGTACCTTTGACTTACCCTTTACACACCAAGCATTTTACAAGATGCTAAAGGTTCAAAGATGTACAAAACAGCCCGTCCTCACGTAAATATATTCTGCAATAAGTGTTACTGTCCCACTTAAGCAGTTCCATGTTGTTAAATATAAATGCTAACAAATATAAAATGATGCTCATATTATAAGAAATCAGAGAAATGCAAATTAATATAACAGGAAGTTTCTATTATTTACCAACCAAATAGGCTAAAAATAAAAAATCTGAAACAACTAAGTGTTGGCAGGAGTATTATTAACAGTGTACATAGCTGACAGGACTATTAATTGACTACAGTCTTTGTGGAGATTTGGTGTTTCTTTATTCTCTTAACATAGTATATTACTTTAGAAGTTGAACCATCTTTGTATATATTGAGATAAACCTTACTTGGTTGTAATATATCTTTTCAATAAATACAAAAATTGTTTTGCTTTGATTTTATTTAGGAATTTTACATCTGTGTTCATAAATAATGCTTGTCTATAATTATCTTTTTCTGTACTGTTTTCATCCGGTTTGATTATTAATGATAAGCCAACCTCACTAAGTAAGTTAAGTAGCTTTCTTTCCTCTTCTGTTCTGTAAAAACAATTTTGTTTCCTTTTAAAGAAGCAGTTTACCTGTTCCTTGAAGGTACAGTAAAGCTTGTAAGTGAGAACATCTAGCACTTGTGTCTTTCGTTGTTGTTGTTAGGTGCTGTCAAGTCAGTTCCAACTCACAGTGACACTATGTACAACAAAACAAAACACTGCCCAGTCCTATGCCATCCTCACAATTGTTGCTATGTCTGAGCCCATTTTGCAGCCGTTGTGTCAGTCCATCTTGTTGAGGGTCTTCCTCCTTTTCACTGACCCTCTACTTTACCAAGCATGATGTCCTTCTGCAGAGACTGGTCCCTCCTGATAACATATCCAAGGTACGTAAGACAAAGTCTTGCCATCCTCGCTTCTAAGGAGTATTCTTGTCGTACTTCTTCCAAGGCATATTTGTTTGTTCCTCTAGCAGTCCATGGTATATTCCAGATTCTTCACCAACACCATAATTCAAAAGCATCAATTCTTCTTCGGTCTTCCTTATTCATCATCCAGCTTTCGCTTGCATATAGGTGACTGAAAACACCATGGCTTGAGTCAGCCACACCCTAGTCCTTACAATGACATCTTTGCTTTTTTAACACTTTAAAGAGGTCTTTTGTAGCAGATCTGCCTAATGCAATACATTGTTTGATTTCTTGATTGCTGCTTCCGTGGGTGTTAATTGTAGATTCAAGTAAAATGAAATCCTTTTACAACTTCAGCATTTTCTGTTTATCATGATGTTGCCTACTGGTCCAGCTGTGAGGCTTTTTGTTTTCTTTATGTTGAGGTGTAATCCATTCTGAAGGCTGTAGTCTTTTTATTGTTGCTGTTGTTGTTGAGAATATACATAGCAAAACATACAACCATTTCTACATGTACAATTCACTGACATTGATTACATTCTTCAAGTTGTGCATCCATTCTCACCCTCCTTTTCCATTAACTAACAGAAACTCACTGCCTGTAAGGTTCCCATCTAATCTTCTGAGTTGCTGTTGTCACTTTGATCTCATATAGACAGTTCTTAAGAGTATAATACTCAAGGCAGACATTTTTTACTAGTTAAGCTCAACTACTGTTTGGTTTTAAGAAGACTTCAGGAGATATTTTTGGTTTAAGGTTTCAAGATTATCTCAGGGCAATAGTTTCAGGGGTTTATCCAGCCTCTACGGCTCCAGAAAGTCTGGAGTCATGATAATTTGAAAGTATGTTCTGTATTTTCCCCCTTTTGATCAGGACTCTTCTAGGGAATCTTTGATTAAAATGTTCAGTAATAGTAGCCAGACATCATCCAGTTCTTTTGGTCTCATGGCAAAAGAGGCAGGTTGTTCATGAAGGCAATCAGCCACACATTCCATATCCTCCTATTCCTGACTCTCCTTCTTCCTCTGTTCCTCCAGACAAATAGAGACCAATTTTTGTGCCTTAGATGGCAGCTTGCAAGCTTCTAAAACCCCAAGTACTACACAACAAACTAGGAGGTAGAACAGAAGCACTAAACAAGTTATTAGGCCAATTAACTGGGATGTCCCATGAAACCATGACCCTTAACCTCTTTGATCTTCATCAGTAAATGCTTCAAGTCCTCTTCACTTTCTTTTGTATCTTTTTAGTGGATTGTTAATAATTGATTTCGTTCACATTTTCTCGTTTGTAACTGAAAATTTTGTTAATTACATTTTTATACATTTATACATTACATCTAAATTTTCAAATTTATTGGAATAAGGTGACAGAAAAAAATTTTTTTAAATTCTACTACATGTGTAAGTTTGATTCCTTTTTAGTTGCTAATATTGTTTATTTGGGTCTATTTTCATTGCTCTTCCTCATCAGTATTGCTAGAAGTTGTATATTTTACAACTTTTTTTTATATATAGTGTTTAAATTTGTTGATCCTTCCTAAATTCCAGGGATTTTTATGTCTAATGTAAGATGATGGAAAAAGAAACAAACAAAACCTTAGTTAGCCATATTTATTATCGGACAAAAGAGATATTAGGACAAAAGTATTAAAAGAGTAGAGATAAAAAGCAACATACAGAATCACTTTTTAAAAAGTTCAACTGACCAAGATATGATGATTCTAAACATGTACGTACCCAGTAACATAATTCAAAATATGTCAAGTCAAACTTGATGACCATAAAAGAAGAAACTAACAAACTCACCTTCATAGAAGGTGATTTTATTACATCTCTCTCAAAAATTGAAAGCTCACGCAGACAAAAGAAAAATCAGTGAGGAAATCTGGGAAGATGGTTGCATGAGCAGGTCCAGATTCCCGACCCTCCCCATATGTATACCAAGAAACGCAAAACATATGTGTATTCTGCCCTGTGGGGCTCTGAACTGGTGGGGATGGACAGAAGCAATGAGCTGCGGTCAAAACAAGTCAACAATGAGTCTCATACGGTAGGAAAAGCACTTCTTCCACTGTTCCCACCCCTCCCACTCCTGGCACAACAAACAGTCATCTGCCATGCACGGCCTCCAGGGGTGCACAGAAGGATGGCTGTAGCAGAGCCCACTCCCCTATCCAACTCACAGCTCGCCTGTAAACAGGGAAGGGCCCCAAGTCCTGCCTGCAAAATAAATAGGACAGATCTCCCTATTGCGCCATCGAGGTGTGCCCACCTATTCGCCTCCTGGCAGAGCAGACAGCTACCATAATCCCAGTTGACCTGTGACTTGCCTGAGCACAGGGAAGGACCCCAATCTCCTGCTCTGAGATAGTGGACCCTCATAGAGAGGAGGATGGGGCAGTGAACAAGGACTGATAATTGTACCTGCCAAAGTGCAATTCACTCAAAGTGGTTTTTCTGACCAGTTTGGGAGTTGTCAAAGG